AGCTCAATCTCAGTGTGATTTCTCCCACACTTTGTGACGCTTTGTTATCTAAAAAATAAAGAAACACAAAACAACACAAGGGACTGGTACATGCTCATATTAGGTAGTCACTCAGATTATCATAGAAACATGCACATTCAGATTCTTTGTGCTATTGTGTAATAGTTATCCTGAGTACGAGGCATTTAATAGTATTTCTCCTGATCTCATGATTATTTTTTTTTCACGATCTTGTGATCCCACATATTTTATTCAAGGCAATTTGACCTTTGAAAAAAAAACGTTTGATGTCTGTTCAGTATAAAACGAGGATATTTTAAAAGATTCATTTTTTAGATGAGTAACTTACCATTGGTACCCAAGGCATCTAATTGTTCATCAAATTGGCTATCATTCAAATCTAAGGTAACACTGCTCTCTGGTGGTCTAATTTACGCATCGATTGCAATTGTATCAGAGCCATGACTGATAGCTGTCAATAATATCCAAACCACTGCTACACCACAGATCTATATTTTCCTGAACATACAAAGTCTTTTCTTTCTCAGTTATTTTAACACGGGATTTCCAAGAGTAAGTGTTAACATCACCTGCTCAAAGGTTTAGAATTTCTGCTCTGAAGAGGCCACCAGGGGGAGTGGTAGATTGCCTTGAAGATCAACCCAACCTCCCCTATGGTGATATGTTTGAGATCAGAAGCTTGGCTACATGGATAACATAAATCCATGTTACACTATGTTGCAGCCCTGCATGTTGGTGCTCAACCACCCACCCACACTGCCAGCTAATCTTGTTACTTATGCCTGTATATAAGTCATGCTCTTACCCATTCCTATTGTATGTAAGCATATGCCAATCTCCTTGATATATGAAATCCATTATAAAGCTTGTTTATACATCTAGAATTTGACTCTATTAAACCAGACCAGAAGCCCATTAATTGATAACAGTCTCATAACATTCAAGAGAAACGTTCTGTAAGAAAGACCAGATGTTCTTATTATGCTTTTTACATGAGTGGTTTATTTCTATCAACATAGAACCTATTGAGTCATTTGCCACTTGGTTTAGTTAATGTGGACTCGACTGAAGGATTCAAAGGAAAGGAATGGTTGGTTCCTGATTCAATTGGAATCAGAAAGGCAGAGATTTGGTTCCCAGGTGAGAGGGAGTTGAAAATGGTTTGAGCTAGTTTTCCACTTTGCCCCCAAAATAGCATGAATGAAACAGTTGAATACAGTAAACCTCACATGAGTGGTAGCAGTTGAGACCATACATTGAATAAGACTTATGCAAAATATGAATTATGTGGCACTTATAAATAATAGGAAATTCAATGGGACTTGGACAGATGTATGACTTAAGCAATTGGACAGTTTAATCAGATCAGACTTATGCGAGTTTTACTATAGATTTATCTTTTTCCTGTGATCTTATGTTATAAAATAGAACATGATTCAATTCAATTTCTATGTGTTTGAATGCACAAAATAGATTTGCTTATAGTTACTGTCTGATGGAAGTAGTTTAATTAACAGCATTAAAAATAACTGTCACCTTAAAAATATAGCAGTTTTGTCGGGTGTCCATTGTGTAGTCATATAACAAAAAGTACCTTTTAATGTTCATGCAAAACATTAAACACAACATAGTCAAACACAAAATAGTCCTTACTCAGCCAGATCAATGCCATAGATTGGAAGAATAAAATGAAATCTATATTAATCACAATACTCTCACTGGCATACTAGGATATTTACCCAAATATTCTCCGAGTGACCTATAGTTAGTAACTAGATCTTAATTTTCTTTCCAAGTGTTCATTTAGTTAATAAAATAATTTACAATTAATTTCCCCAGCATCAGTCAATATTTACATTTTTAAAAAATATTCTAGGTCATTAATTGGAACATCCACACTTCAGTGATGAACCTAAAGAGATACATTAATACCAACTCAACAAGTAGCAGCAGAGGTTAATAGACCAAAGGATAGTGTTCTTTTGGTACCACTGACGCCAATGTATAACCTGCTGATATGCACAAAATAATAGAAACTGGGAACTTCAGATAGGATGGAGAGGACAGTAAATGTAGATGATAAAAATCCTTGCATTTGATATAGCGGCTTATCACGTCGTTGAGACGTCTCAAAGCGCTTCACAGAATAACCTGTAAAGTGAATTGATGGTATATTTTGTGGGCGAAATAGATTTATAGATTGATTACAGTGGTGCTCAACTGTTTTTTCAGAGTTCAAAGCTGAGTTCAAATATAAGGATTATTATGATTATTATTATGCTTAATGTATATAATCCCTATCTGCACAGATTATAACATTGGCTATTGACTTCAATATTGACTTTAATATTATACACAACATTATACTTCACTTTATCCAATCTGATTCAGTTTAATCCTTATTTTGATTAGGGATAAGAACCCAGACACCTTGTGGTAGGTACTGTGTTGCAAATGAATCCAGTATAGCAGGAGTCAAAGAAATCAATACTGTCTGAGAAGAATTAATACAAACTCCACCTGCAGAGGACGCAACTCTTAAATGCACCAACATGACTATCTAGAGAAATAAAAAGAAACACCCTATACTGGAGATCTGAAATGAAAACAGAAATGCTGTAAACGTGCAGTAGGTCAACCGGCATCTGAATGAGAAGAAACGTCTCTGACAGCTCAGAGCGTTGAACAATAGTTTTGGTACCAGAGGTTTTCAATCCCATTATAATAAACCTTGCCTTTGATAAAGCGCCTTATCACGTTGTTGATATGTAAAGCAGCAGCCAATTGCGCACAGCACCGTCCCACTAACAGTCGTGGATTGAGTGACCATTTTTTTAAGGGAATATTACCCCTGGAAAGCAATCCACCGATCGACTAACAACCGAGTTCCTACTTACTGCTTGATAAACAGGCGTGTGAAGTAAGGAAACTTGCCTAAGGTTTCGTCCCCATCTGGGAATCCATTATATAGGGAGTGGTCAATCAGAAAAAAAAACAAGATGAGGGGTTCTGACATGGCATTTTTAAATACAAAGTCCACAAAGTACTAAGTATTTCTGAAATAATAACATCTTTCTCTTTGAGATGCCGATTGATCTGATCTGCTATGCATTTTCAGCCTCTCACATTTTTGTTTCCCGCAATGACTATTCGTACTGTCCACATTCTCACTGTTATATTGGCAGAGCAGGAACTGTTCAGACAAGCATTGAGGTGTAGTCAATTTGAACTCCTTTATATGTAAAGTCAGGAAAAGAGGAACCTGAGCCGTAGTTTGATTCTGATTTAGTTGTCCTTTGATCAAAGTGCTCCTATTACTTCACCCAGCCACACCAATTCACTTCCAGCTGTACATTAAGCTGGAGCAAAGACTTAAGAGGAAAATTATGCTGCATCATTACTTTTTCTGTGGATGGAAAATTTAAAAAATAGATTTGTGATATCAATAACATATGAGCTATACACTAATGGAAGTTTTTCTTTGAGGATAATCAACAACTGGAACAAGTTGCCAGGAAAGGTGGTTAGTTGATGCCAGGACATTAGACACAATTAAAAGCAGCTTGATGCAATGGGGGTGGGGAGGAGAAGGGTAGGGTGGGTGTTATGGAGAGATGAGATCGGATGGGCCAAAGGACCTTCTTCATCCAGATCAATGCTTGTGATTTGTTTAAGAGGAGGCTGGATTTGTAAGGGACGAGTGACATGTTTTACTGTAGATACAGCAGAAAGTCAAGTTGCCGGCTATAATTGAGCCTGTGAATTCTGTGCTGATAAGAATAAAAAGAAATTTTCAACCCTTTCCTTGTCAATGTACATTGTGGTAACCAGTACTTTTCCGCTCATGATTCTCACAAAGAGATCGCTCCAATTTATAATAATATTAATGATAGTCCTTGCATTTGATAGAGAGCCTTGTCTTGCCTTCGAGGCGTTTCAAATTTACAAATCGTTTGCTTTGCTGACACACTGACATCTGAGTACAGGACATAGGAGCAGGAATAGACCACCGTTTCCCTCTGCAAGATTTTGCCTGAATAACACCAAATGTATCGACACTTGAATCGAATATTTTCGAGCGAATTTGCAATGTGTCCCCACATAGAAAGTCGCAGTCACAAAGCTGATAGTCATTTCACTTTACAGTATATTCTGGAAACGCTTTGAGACGTCTCAACGACGTGATAAGGCGCTACATCAAATGCAAGGATTTTTATTGTTATTATTATCAATCAATCAGTTCTCTTGCTGCGTGAACCCAATTAAAAGGCGATCTGTTTCGAACAGCAACCGACTGTGGGGTTCAGGATTAAAAGAACATTAATCTTGTAATGTAAATGTACATTATGTTCAGGGTGTGGGGCAATTTGTGAAAACAAGCCACATAATAGAAATTATTTTTAAGGTGGGGCATACAGACAGCAACGCTAATAGGGGAGGGTAGAATCACATTCCATTGGTGCAGTTTTCTAAAAATTTGCATTAATTCTCTCTGGAACACTTTTATCTGATCTCCGAATGGCTCTCACCCGCAGCTCAATGCTTCTAATAGATTGGAGGAACAGGCTCAAGGGCTGAATTGCCTACGTCTGTTCCTATGTTCTCCAATCGTGTCATTTTAATGGAAAATGTGCATTTTTATTATAGGCGCCACAATTCACCCTCAGGCTAGCTAATGTCATTGATCTTTCAAATTATGGACAATTTCATTTACTGACAACAATACTGGCTTAAGTGGTCAGGAAAACAGTATACAGTACAGCACAGAAAAAAAGTATTTTTTTTACACCAATTACGAATATTCACAACAGAGTCCCGATCGCTTGAATAACGCTGAAAGCAAGGCACAACTTCTTACTTAAGATATCTGTTCTGGCGAGTTGTAATAAGCTTTAACTCGGATTTATTGATTGACCTTTTTAATAAATAAAAATGTGGAACTATACTATAATATAAACATTCATATGCTACATGCAAAATCATATAATTTAAGGTAATAATTTATATCCACACAGAGAGAAGACCAAAAAAAAAAATCACGACCGCCCTAGTTTCCTGGATAACGCACACAAACACGAGGTGTCTATCCTTATCCATCTCCATCCCAGATATTTCTTATTTTCTGTCGACAATGCCCTGACATAGGTCTGGCTGGTTTTACACTGGGAATTCCAATGTTTATCATCGATGCCTCTGCAGCCATTCTTAACCGGCTTGGCCTCCCTGCATCGAGTTTCATAGAAATATTGTTTGATGGCGGTGGTGCCAGTTTTGATTTCTCCCAGCACAGTTACCTGCCGCCCTCTGATATCAGTGGCTGCGGTTTTGTCCGTGACCCATCGGCTTTCACTGTCGCACACAGAATATTCCCCGCGGTGTCCCTTGTGATCCGCATACCTTTTCCTCCTCGCTGTTCTATTCCCCATTCTGGAATCCCCGATGAAATCGTCGATTAAGTACAAAGGGGGTGGTTCTAAAGGCGGCCGTTCACTCAGCAACACTCGAGGCGAATGATAGCGCTTTTTCTGCCTCAACAATTCGGCGTTAACTGAGATGATCGGCTGGAAATCGGACATTGTATTTCCCATCGACTCTGTGTTCTTCAAAGCGTCGCTTTTGTATCTGGTGTCCTGGTATTTTTCCTTGACCCCTTCGGTTTGTTTGGAGAGCTTGGCTTTCAGAATGTCGGCCTGGATTATTTTAATGATGAGAGAATTCACCGAGTTTTCCGACAAACTTTTTCTGTCCGTGGGTGGAGTAGCTTGAATGCCACCGAGGTAAGTGAGAAGCATGCCGTAAAACAAGATAGACATTACTTCGTTCACCTGTAAAAGCTGAGGAAAAGTACACAATCAGTCCACAGTCCTTTTAAGACACATTTGCACAACAACAGCAACACAGTACACACTTCATATTGATCATTCTTGCGTTTGATGGAGCGCCTGATTACATTGTCAAGACAACTCAAAACGCTTCACAAGTTTTTATTGCGGAGTGTAGTGACTGTGCGTTAGTAGGCGAATACAGCAGCCAGTTTGCACACAGCAATGCCCTATAAACAATAACAACAACAACTTGGATCTGTGTAGCTCGCCTCACACTGGGTAGCGTCTCAGAGCACTTGACAGTGGCGAAACACGATACCGAGCCCAGGGGTGGGCGGGAGGTGAGCGGTCGAGTAGTAATCTGATTTCAATTAATTTCTGGGATTTTGCAGCACTATCATAAAGGCTTCTTCTCCAAAAATTATGCCGGCTAGGGAACTACAGATACTTCTGAAAACAAGAACAGTTGGAGTGAACTTATAATAATCCTTGCATTTGATATATCGCCTCATCATGTCTTCGAGACGTCTCAAAGCGCTTCACAGAATATATTGTAAAGTGAATTGACTATAGATTTTCTGGGCGAAATGGGACATTGTTTGATTGATTGATTGATATTTGCACACAGAAGAACTTACAACAGGCTGTTTGTAATGATTGTGTGATCTGCTTTTTAATAATGATAATAAAAGAGTGAATGTTGCACATGCACAGACCACTGAAATCAAGTGCTTTGTTTCACAGCCCTCCTTCAGTGGGATAGGGAGCAGGATGTTTAAAACAGGCCTCTCACTCCACATCATTAGACGGCTGGGAGGGAAGTGGGTTGCTTGCAGCAGTACAAACACATGATTAAATACATTCCATGGGGGACACAGTGCCAAGGATACAGGGAGTTTACATAAAATTCCAGAAGACAATGTTTTATTTTCTTGCACTGGTTATTTTCTGAATAGTAAGGCAACACAAATCACGTGCCTGCACAGATTTATTTTAAGAAAAGTATCAAATTCACAAACCTTTAGATTTACAGTGGAAAAAAATTAAGCGAGGCGATTAGATGGTGATATCAAAATACTCCAAGATGGGATTGATAGTGACTGTTTCTCTGAATATTCATCCAAAGAACAGCAGCAGCATCAGGCTTGCATTGATATAGCAATGCCCCTCATGCAAGGTAGCGTCCCAGAGAACTTACCCATATTTGTACACATTGCAACGGAAACGTGACAAAGTTAAAGCATAAATTGTAAAATTCATCTCACACTGTCAGCTGTCTGATCAACACCGCTATCTTGGAGTCCTGCAGCTCAGTGGTTAGAGCACTCGCTTTGCAAACGAGAGACCTGAGTTCAATTCCAGGCAGAGGGCGAAACTTCGGGCAAGTTTCCTTACTCCACACAGAGCCTAATAATAATCCCTCCAAAACCAAAAACAATAATAAATTGGTCATTTTCAATCCACGACTGTTTGTGGGACATTGCTGTGCGCAATTAGCTGCCCCGTTCGTCCACAACTATACAGTCAATTCACTTTACAGTGTGTTCTGTGAAGCGCTTTGGGATGTCCTCCCGACGTGAAAAGCGCTATATCAAATGCAAGGTTTATTAGGATTATTATTATTATCTTACACAAGAACATAGGAAAGCACAGGCTGCAAAATACCACTGCGTCCATCTGGCTGTTTGCAAATTAAATAAAATCATCAGCACTTTCATGAGGCTGTGATGGAAGACAATGTGAGAAATCATCTTGCTTTGTTGACTGCATGGTCTCGGAAATGTGGTAAAATTGGGCAGATGTGATCAGGAGGCCAGCCAGCACGCGGTGAGTTTTTAAGCATGTTTTTACGTTGTTACATTCATATTTGAGATTCATATTCAACGAGGACTAGTTGGCGCCATTTCTTACTGAGATTCTTTCATAAGGGAATCCTTGATAAGGAATCCTGTTGGAACTCACATTCGCAAGTGAGACGACGGTGACAAAGTAGATCACATCAGAGAGGAATTCCCACAGTTTGGAATTAAAGCGCCCCGGGACCCTACCCTGGATGAGGAGCACTATATAAATGCAAGTTGTGGTTGTTGTTGTGGACATACTGTACTTCTGTTTGCTGGAAGGATTCCCCGTTTGTTCAACTCAGGTTCTTTGTTAAAGAATTCCCTTAAGGAACATCGTAAATGAAACCAATTTGTTAAACCCAACTTGTATTGTCTTGATTGTTTCTTTTCCCTCTCCGCACCTTACACCTCGCCAGCCACTTTGCAACAAGTTACTTTTATTTACACAGGCACTCTTCAGGCAGATTAACATCTCAGACATTTGCTAGGAGGCGTATGATTGATATTCCTCTGATTATTCCTCTTTCACCACACCACGTTACACACCAGCGAGATTGCAATCAGCCACTCAACACATGCGGGCGCCTAGGTACAGTAAATAGGAAGTCTAAAATGGCACACTATCAGAGTGCCTTCGAAAAAAAAATGATATTAAGAGCTGCCTATTTACGAGATAAATAAATAAGTGATCGGATAATACTTGAGGGTAGTACATCTTCTCAAATAATCATAATAATAAGAATAATCCTTGCATTTGATATTGAGCTTTATCATGTCTTCGAGACGTCTCAAAGCACTTCAAACAACAACACAAAATTACATTTGTAAAGCGTCTTTCACTTCGGGAGATGTCCCAAGACTCTGGACTGACAGAGATACGGACCTTATATACTGTAAAGTATTATACTGCAAAGAATATACTGTAAAGTGAATTGAGTGTATATTTCGTGGCCGAAATATTCCATTCAATAGCATCAAAAGTTTAACAATGTCAACTTCCGACAGAAAATGTTAAGGTAAGGGAATAAACTTTTTTCCACCTCCCTCCTCCTCCCACCAAAAAAAAACTGCTCAGTGAATTTATCAAGTGAACCATATACTGAGCCGTGGAAAGGGTTAAAACATGAAAAGTAATAAAAATATAATGGTTTATAGGACCTGGCATACTCCTGATTGTAAAATGCCCATTTACCAAATGTTTGTGAGTTAACGATAGTCGAATGGGATCAATATGCAGCATTCTAAAATGTTGAACGTCCGAAATATGGTATTGTCAACTTTAACGACATTCTCACAGCCAAGATTATTTTACAGTGCAGGGTACTTTAATGATCCAATCTAGACATATAAAAGCCAAAAGTCTTTGACAGAAACTGTGGAATTGTTAGAGAAATAGCACAGTGTCAAAGTCACAAAAATCGTTTCTCTCAGGAGACTCTGCGTATCCTTTGATGCAGATAGTTCTGCAGTGGCAATGGAATATATTTGTTGGCAAAGGGTCATTTTACTTCTAAGCACGAATAGCTGGTAAAAGACATACCAGGAGCCAGTTAATGGAGCAACTCATGTTTTTCATACCTATGAAACTAAACAAGAAGCATGCAACAAACTGCATGGCTTGAAGAGAAGTGCCAACAAATCTGCACATTGGGAAAAATTTTAATTGTGAATGAATACATTATTTTCTGAGAGTTACAAGGAATTTCATACACTGTACAAGCACGGAGACAGGTGATTTGATCCAATGAGTCTGTGAAGATGTTTATATTCTACATGATAATCCACCCCATCTAATGCCCTCTCCTCTACCCCTCCATTTCATTCTCCCTCATGTACACAAATTATATCAATGATGATACACATATAGCTATACCCAGAAAGAACTTTGCAGTTCATATAATGCCAATGTTGCAACAATAACAACAACAAATTACATTTGTGAGTGCCTTACACGTTGAGAGGATGAACCAAGGCCCAAGTCCAATGCAATAGCTACATGAATATGTATAGACTTGTACTGGAAATATATTGTCTGCTGTTTTCACAGTACAGGAGCTCCACACATCTGAGCATTAACCATTGCAACCCTAACCGAAGCAAGCACTAGCTAAGATATATTTCTTGTGACACCTGACATTAAACAGATATACGTCTAGGGCTGCTAAGAGGCAATCAGTTTGGTTTTAGTTTAATATATTTTGCAATGTGTCGTTCTTGAATAAGGGCTCGTTCTACAAAAGGCAAGCAAACAAAAGATTTTTGTAGTAAACAAAACCTAAGCAATATTGTCAAATAGCAATTCTATGATGGTAAATATTTTCTGAGGTGAACATCTTATGTTAATTCTTTCCTTACATTCGGATGAGATGTTAGACCAAATAGTCCGCTTGTTCAGATGCATATTAAAGATCCCACGGCACTATTTAAAAAGAGAAGGGAGCTTTCCCAGTGTCCAGATAAAGCTGGTCATTCACTTCATGGCTGTTTGTGGGACATTGTTGTGAGCAAATTGGCTGCTGCTTTTGTTGCTGCTTTGGTCTACAGTGAAAGTCACTACATTTCATAATAAAATCCTGTGAAACACTTTGAGACATCTTGACAACATAAGACACTGTATCAGCCATCAGACAGTACACATGTTTACTACTGCTGTTGATGTGTTATGACTTTCCCTCATGATCTCACTGAACCCCTTGCTGACAAGTCTACTTGGGTGTGCTTAGCCATACAAGTCTGTTATTTAATAAACTTCCAGGTTTTTAAAGTTCTTTATGCCAGTTTTAGAGGGATAAAAATGTTGAAAAGAGCAACCAATAATCTAATAACACAATTTCACACAAATCCTCCTAATTTATCATTTCAGTAAATGCGGCTGAAAATCATATTGGCAACCAAAAGATGTAACTCATACAATACATCTGGTTTGTGAATACAGTATTTTAGACCCAAACATCACTAACATTTAGGGACCTCAAAGTTTCTCAATACAGTATGTCTGAATAATAATTTTGATTTCAAGGATTGTGATTCTAATCGGTGCCAGACTCGTCTCTGAGTCAGAAAGTTGAGGGTTCAAACCCTGCATCAGGACTTTGAACTCACAAAGTTTGTGCACAGTTTGCGCACAGCAGTTTCCCACAAACAGTGACCAGTTTTCTTTGGGGGAATTGTTGACCT